TATGCTTTGATCAAGGCCTTAATGATTTTTTTGCTTTTATATCAAAAAATAAAATCTCATCCAGCTATTAAAGACACAAAGGAAAGGCTTTAGATAAGTAACACTTACTAAAATAAATTTAGACAGTAATGTAATCAATAAAGCATATCAACACAGGTAAGTTTAAACAAAATTAAAAGGAAGCGAGAAGATTGACTAGAATAAATAGGTTAATGTATGTTAAACTCTTATGTTTGTACCAGATTTGAAGGGCAAGATTGAAATGTTAATGGAGAGGGTTAATTTTTGCTAATGAGCCAAGAAATTATGCTTATAGAATTAATCAAAGCCAATACATTTTTTATTGTATATAATATTGGAATCTAAAAATAAACAATCATTACACTTTTTTATAATGTATTTTAAAAGTTTTTTTTTTTTTTATCCAACAAATTGATCAGCTAAAACTTTGCATATGCAATATTTTTGAGACTAAGTGGGATGTGTAAGTTTTATTTGTATTTTTAATAGAAACAAAAAAAAGCTTAGCAGTGAAAGTTATCAAGTGTCTTCTGTCTTCTACCAAATGTGTGTTGGATTTGAAGCCTGAAGTGACGGTGCGTGTGCATCTCGTGCTGCTGCAGATCTTTATTTCCCCGCTCCACGCTGGCAGCGCCTGTCGTTAGGCAAAGCTCCAAGCCATTTCCCCTCGATGCATCTCGACTGAATCAATAGGGCCCCTCGCAGCGTATCATTAGACATAAGTATTATAATTACTTGTGTTATTAATTTTGCCTTAATACCAGGGATAATATGATATGTAATCCAACGCTGTTGAGGGAAGAGAAAATAAGATGATCACAAATGCATCTCTTATGAAAATCAATGCTGAAATGGATATTCCAATAATGCCAAACCACTGCTGCTGTTTTTTCCCTTTCTTTTTACTTCATGCATATCAGCCAATCATTTTATGCTCTCATCTGGAAAAAAAATATATGAATACACCCAATGTATTTCACATGGCCTCCTAGTCCGAGGCAAAACAATATGGATTTGTGTTCCCTCACAAACAATTTTAATAAAAAGTTATCGATTGGGGATAGAGCAGATAGCCTGTGGGCGCAGAGCACCAGACCCCAGTGGCTCCAGATCATTAATGTCCTCAACTGCTGGCTTCACCGGTGCAAATTTCTTCAATAAGGGGCCGACACACGAGCTTCAGGGTTTGATTTTTTTTAACCAAGGTATAGTTGGCTCGTGGACGAGCTGCAAAATCAGAAGACATTTAGCAGAAAGATGTTTGTTGTTTTTTTTATTTCATCAACACACACATTACTTCTATTCTAAACATTCATGGCAAACATCTCCTTCAGAGCAAAGAGCTCAAGCTGCAAACAAAGCAACTAGTCAATGCACAGTGTGGTGATAAGTTCACAAGAACACTGTCTTTTGAACTGCTTTATGTCAAACAGGGAAAATTTGTGTTGCTTCGGGATCTACATCCTAAGAAGAAGCACTTGCATTCCCATTTCTGAGCAGGTAGAAAAACCTTGCTTCTCTGAGACGGCTTTAATTACCAGCTACTTTCTGTGTGCTTACGATTTCAATTTTTCCCTGCAAAGCCGATAATGATATTCAAAACGCCTGCTGGCTACTCCGACTCCTTATTCTCCCCTTTTCTTTCCTTCCCACTGAAATGTGAATACTTAAGTTTATGGGCTTATTTGTCCTACAGTCACTTTGTTAAATCTTTTTTCTCTCTCTCTCCTCTGCCCAACACGACTATTTAAACACAAGCCTCCCTGGAAGGGATGGTAATAAAGGGTTTTTGGGTAGAAGGTTTGGTAGGGATCAATGTGGAATATATTAGCCTGCGCTGCAGAGACCGACTTCAATAATAAAAGAATTGATCCTGTGAAGTGAAGCTTTATTTTGAGCGCTGGCATGGTAAAAGAAAAGGAGGATGGTCCATTCCAATGCTACGCAGACCAGATGGAGAATCACAGCAGGCTTTTTCACCCTCCCCCAAATTTTTCACATTGCATTTTCAATCCGGCATTAGATGCAATCACACAATTACTGAGGGATTTCTGTTGAAGCAAACGAGAGACAAAGGAGTATGTCCAATAATGCAGCATATGGAAAAACATATTCAGCTGGCAGTACTTTTAACTGCCAAATGCAAGAATGTGGGAAATCGCTGAAGAAAAAGAGATGAAAATAAATGAAACAGATTTTTTAAAAACACATAAAGATTACTGGAATGTATTAAGTGTGATATCTAAAGCTCCTTGTGTGTTTAGTTAAACTTGGACTAATTTCCCTTTGAATTTCATGTTTTCAAAACAGAAGCCACTAATATTTCCATTAGTCGCCGGACACATCTTATCCCAGCAGTGTCTCTGCACGCAGCCGTCGGTTTGTGAAGTGCAGGCGGTAATCAAGCGTGAGGGCTGGATATATAACAAGCACACTTCACAGTATGCCTAACAAGCACACTTCACACACTAATCAGCTCAAGTAGACTTGCACTGCAGCCGCATCTCCACGTTTGTTTTCCTCCAGGCTTAGATCATGAAAACTGCCTGTATGGTATCAATAGATTTGGCCATCACTGATTTAACTAAGAGCACACTGAGATGTTGCATGGAGGATTCCTGAGGTGATTAAAATAAAGTGCCGAATGCAAGGAGGAGGTTAGGAGAAACAAGAGAGATAAACATACACACACTCCCTGCATGTATTGATCTTCCTGCAGGATGCTTGAGTCAAAATAATGCACCCGATTTGGCCTTAGTCTCAAATTTAGGGCCATAAATAGTCTTTTTTGTAGTACGTCTGGGGTTGTTATTCTTATAACAAGAAAAAAATGAAAATCCATCTGAAAACTGATGATAATTCTGTTATCTTATTTGGGTAAAAAGGTTTTCAGCTCATGTAAAGCCAACAGGTCAAAGTCCAGACTCAATTCACATTAAAACACGAACAATCTTAACATAAAGGAGTAAACTACAACTGCTATATAAACGTCAAATATAACATTTAAAAGTTATATTTGTTTCTAAATAAATCAGATGTAACAAACTGAGAAATCAAATATAACTTTAACAAATGAAATTAATATTTGGGTAAAATAATTAGATATAACAATGATAAACTGTAGCACTCTGGTGTGACATAAACAAAAAGAAACACAAAGATTGCAAAATAAATGGCATAAATGAAATCAAGCTTTGATGTAACAAGAATGCATTAATGCTAAATTTACATAGAAAGAATATAAAAAAACTGTTTACATATGTGCTTTAAAACTACAGAAACAAACATATCAGTATGGTAAATAATAAATAAAATAAAACTGTAAGAAAATAGATAAAACATGGAACAGTAATGATTTCTAAGTAGGCTACTATTCAGTATCTTACACTCAGCAAGTCAAAGATTATATGGCTGTCAGAGAAGGAGATAAAGATAAAATAATCAAATGTTTTATAAAAGTAGAATAAACACTGAGACACTAAGTGAAGCACAAAAGTGGTCAGAATGAAAACTTGAGTCAAATAAAAACACAAAAAAACATGAACAAACAAATGAATCCACTGTAACATTAAGATAAAATGACCAAATGTATTAAAAAGAAAGAAATTAATAGTAAGAAAAATTGATAAAATGCATTATTAATATAAAATACAAACCATAAGCACGCAAAGACAAAAGTTGAAAGAAATTATCTCAAATAAAACAGAAATAAAACTCATCAAATGTAATCAACGATTTGTAAATCATCTATATTTGAGTGATTTATGTATTTGACATTTACTGTCCAACTTATGAGCCAGAGTTCCATAAGTGAGAAATAAGAAGTCTTCTTTTGTTTGTTTTTCGTTATGCTTAGAAAATAGTCCAAGAGGAGCATATTATGTCTTAGTAAATATTCCTGTCGGGAAGTAAGTTTGCAAACTGATTAAAAGAAGAAGAAAAAAAAAACATAAATCCACCAAATCTAATATAGACAGGCAGGAAAGTCACCCCCTTCCTGCAATGCCATAAACTCCTGTCATACAGCAAGTTAAAGCTATACAGTATACTATAAGGCCTGTAATCCTGTAGGGCCAAGAGACATATATGTAAACAATCTGTCTTTACACAACAAGGGTTCAGGCAGTTTATACAGAAATGGATACTCCTCATGCAGAAATTTGATTGTCTAATTTTGGGAACAAATTTGCTTAATTGGGGTAGTTTGCATGAAATATCACAAAGATGACAAAACAAAAATCACAGTGAATATAAATGCTCCAAACCTTTCTATCTTTCTTTTTTAAATATTAAATGAATTCTGAATAAAACTTTCAATAATATAAAGGATTAAACTCATGCTCTACAACTGGGGATGCATGATTCCACATTTGCATGTGAGGGCAGTGGATCAACTAAGGTCGCAGAGAAAAAGGCGTCCCTTTATCTTTTCAGACGCATGCAAAAACACAACGAGAATAAAACGGGGGGGAAAATAAGAAGGAGATAAAAAGCCATGTCGGACAAGGCTTCTGCTTCCTTCTTAGAGAGAGGGAGAGAAAGGGAGAGAGAAAGAGAGAGAGGCAGAGACGGAGGGAGCAGGACCCACACGGCGTGGTTCCAGCCAATTGCGTTCCAGAGAAGTGACCATGGCCAGTGATAAACAAAGCGCCATAGATCACTCCTCCTGCAGACTGAGCCCGGCACCGGAGGCGACGGAAGGCAGAGCGCTGGGTCAGACAGCGAGGAGAGAGGACGCGTCTGCCCCTCTGTTAAGACTCTCACCATTCCGTTTGATGCCCTTTTTTCCCACCACCGGAATGCCATGAAAGCCCGGCTGCAGATTGGCTCTCAGTGGCGAGAAGGAGCAAAGCGAAGCCACGGCGACAAAACGTGAGGGAGTCGCGGAGCTGATGCACCATAAAGAGATAAATCCTTAAGAAAATAATCCCAATAAGTCTGATTCCCTTAAAAATAAAAAAGGGGCTTTCAGCACTTACCCACTCCCAGGGACAGGACTCAGATTGAGTCTTCATTCGAGCCCAGTGTGCGTCACAGAAACATCAGATATTCCTCCAAAACAGATGCGCAAAGATGGAGCAGTGAGGTTCTCCCTCTTTTGTTTGTCAGCCTGCCTTGCTAGTTTTTTTTTCTCTGTTTGCATCAGCTGGCTCTTTACAGCTTTGAAGCAGGTGGATGACAAAAACATCAATCTCTCCAGGCACATTGTGTGGCACCATGCACGCCTTGACGCACTCCCCTCACCAGTTCCATACAGTATAATCACACATTGTATTCTCTGCTCACAGCTTCACCAATACACTCGGGTGCAAACAGAAAGTGAAGGACAAGTGTGCTATACTGTGGATTTTCTTTTGTTATGGTCAATTTTCTCCGGGTTAGAACAGATATTTTTCTATACTGAGAGTTAAACGAAAGTTAAACAAGCAGGTAAAAAGTAGACATTTGACTTAGAAGTCAGCATATAGGTCATCAAATTACTTTTAAGGGCACACCAGTTTACCTGCTTGTTAATACAAGCAGGAAATCAGCCAATCATATGGCAGCAACTCAATGCATTTAGACACCTGGATGTTGTGGTGGCAAATTTATGGAAGTTTAAACTGAAAAATGTGGAAGAAAGGGGATCCATGAACGGATGCATATTTTTTGGTTTCACAAAGATATCATTTCTAAAACTATTGACCTGCGTGGAGTTTAATTTAAATCCTTTATTTTATTTCTTAAAAGTGTCCTGTCTGGCGAAATGGCAATAAGAATAATTGTCTAGATGCCAAAAAGAGCCCAACAGATTTTACTTTCACAAGTGGAGCAGTATGGCTATCGCCATAGTGTTCCGCTTGTTTCATGCATATAAATAGCTTTATCATAATTATGCAGGGAGTTTTATGGATTATATGGAAACTGCAATATAGGTAGAACAGGAAAGGAAAAACCAAAAAGAAAAAGGAGAAAATATCAAAGAAAGGGAGATAGAAGGGAGATAATGATAAAACATTTTTAGTCTGCTTCATCGTCTGCAAAGAGATGTAAAAAGAACAGCACAACCAATGAACATGGTACGAGACATACAATAAAGTAACAAGGTGTTTCTTTACTTAAATCCATTATTAGATTAAATGTTTTGTATCAATCATGGCAGACGAAAAAGTCAACGGCAGCTCAAATAATCTCATGATCTCCCTATTTATGCAAAAAAAAAAAAGAACTTAGAACTCACAGTTGAACCTTAAAGCAGATGGACCCCCACACTCCTTCTGTCTGCTAAGAACAGGATGCTACAATTCATACATGTGCAAATACCAGAAAAGATAAGCACCTGGTCCAATCACTCTTTGTCTTTTGCATACAAGTTGCATAACAACAGTAAGCTGCTCTGCATGGCATTAAGAGTTCAGGTTCTTGGTATAGTTTAAAGTGTAGGAGTTTCTGCTAAGTTATCAATGGAAATTATAACCATACACTGCAAAAAATATAAATCTCAATAAGTTATTTTTTCTTAAAATAAGTGTGTTTTTCCTTGATTTGAGGAGATAAGTAAGACACTTTGCCAATGGAACAAGACAATTTCCTTTTAAAATAAGAAAAAAATATTTTATCGTCTTATTTCAAGTAAATATTATCTAACTATCTTATTTTAAGAGTGAAAATACTCATTCCATTGGCAAATCATCTTATTTACCTGCTCAAATTAAGGCTAAATATACTTAATTTAAGCCATTTTTTACTTATTTCTGGATTGTTTTTGCAGTGTACTTGTAATAAAAAGATGCCACCTTACAGTGAGTGTCATGATTTTGGCACTGATGATTAGATTTTTGGTTCAGTTCATCCAACTGTCTAGCTCAGCCCAGTTTTCATTGTCATCATTCAGATCCACCTGCTCCAGTTCCTATTTTAACTGCTTGGTCCCAACCATCAGTGCCAGATTATTCGAGCCTTAGGTGAGAGTTCTTTAGCATACCCAGTGTGTTATTCTGATTGTCTGATCCTGACTATGTTCGTCTCCTGGACTTCTGAGCTTGCCTGTCCCAAATCTGATCTGTTTCGCCTACGCTGTCTTCGGACTTCCATTGGATTCTGCCTGCTAACGACCTTGGATCTGTCACCTGACCCCGGCTTTAATTTTCCTTTAGTACCTCTTCTCTGATCTTCTGCCCTGGACTTCTGCTCCCTCATTGACACTGGCTTTGGATTCTCCTTCCAGATAGTCCTCGTCTTCCTTGTCTACTGGCATCTGCTCATTGGTCTGCTCTGCAGCACCTTTGGCTTCTACTTCTGAACCTCTCTGGGCGGCTTCTGCTGCCTACTGTGGAAAATCTGGATTCCACTCCTTCCTCTGGGCCTGGACTAAACTTAAAAACCAAGTTAGTGACTCACATGCTCGCTATCGTTCCTTGTCAAAGTTATGTGGTTACTAACCTGTGTTTGTCCCTCTACAGGGTTTCCAGTCATCTAGTACAGGCTAATGAGTCACTGATCCCTGAGCAGTTAATAAATGGTCTTTAGAAATCACTTTAGCCTATTTGCTTGAATTCTGGGTCCAACGTTCAGAGTCTTGACAGTGAGTTTGCTGAAAATAAATATTAATAACTGAAAAAGTAAAGCATTAATCTAAGCTGTACTTTGTTTTAGCAGAATACAAAAGCGTAAACTGAAAATCTTAATATTAGTGGATACAATTTGCAAATTTGGATCATCAGCAATTTCATATTTAGCATTCTTTTTTTTTACTCAGCGTCTCTTTATAATGCTGAGGTACCTCATTTAGGCCTGCCTTTTTCTTAATAAAACCATTTGAAAATATATCATATAGAGATTTATATTTTATATTAGATTTGATTTCATGTAAATATATATATATATATATATATATATATATATATATATATATATATATATATATATATATATATATATATATATATATATATATATATATATATATATATATTGGATAAGCAAATAAATTCTCAGAAAAACAGAATCTAAATTCTCCTTTTTAAGTTTTGTAAATAAATTGCTTTCTAGGACGGAAAGTATGGAAGCCTGTTCCCATCACTCAAAAGGAAAAAAACAAAAAACAATTATTTTATAAACATGACTTAACTATTTCATAATTATAGATATTGTCTCATTATTATGATATACTCTCATAATTGTGAAGCAGTATCTCATCAGGTAGTATCCCATACTTTTGAGATGGCTAAAACAATATGAAAAAGTATCTCATTATCATGAGATAGTGTTTTATTATTTTGATAAACCCATAATTGCAAAAAGATAGCCAAGTCATAAAAATTAGATTTACACTTTTATATCATATTGGAGGAAATGGGCTTCCACAGAGAAATGATTTATGCATCATGACAGATATTTTCTAATAGCTTATAAAACTGATTATTTTTGTAGATTGCTGTAGATTTAACTATTTAATTAATGCCCTGCCATGCAAAAATGCAGGCTCAAATATGATAAGAGGAAAAGTAAAAACTGACCCTCATCTTTGAATTAATTTGCAATAGTCCCAAGGTGGTAATAGAGAGTAATAGTTTTATACTGAGATTTGTTGCAAACATCAAGGAGCAACAATTAGAAAGTTAACCAAAATGCAGTATGGTGTTACATTATGCCAGGTGTAAGACGTTTACTCTCAAAAGTTACCTATACTGTAATGTAGTTAATAGCTTCAGTGCCAGCTCCCTTTCCTTTGCTGTTGTTTCCACATATTAGTGAACAAAATCTTGAGTTTTTGAATTTCTTTTCTCATGCTTTGTAAGTCAGTGAGATGGTGAGTTAGTAGGAAGGTGGGGGTGAAATTAAGCCTGGGGTGAGCTTTGAGTCCCTTCTTGTTTGCTCTGGAGATGGACATGTGGATACAGGAGATCAACCAAAAGTCTAAGTGGATTATAGATTCAGCTGATGACACTGTGATCCACAAGGAGAGGAAGAGCATGTGAAGGGGAGCTGGGACAGGTGAACCCATATGCTGCAGAGCATAGTAATGAAAGTCAGCTGGAGAAAAGCAAGAGAGAGAAAGAGAGAGTGAGAAAGGGAAAGACAAATCAGAGAGAGTGACTACAACTGAAGTCAGGATAATGCACCATTATTGTAAAGATTGATTAGAATTTGTTCACAAAATTAAAATCATCAATTTTACCACAAGATAAAACAAATTTAAAAATTTGTTGTTGTTTTTTTGAAAGATGTAACAGATCACTTTAAAACATTTTAATAATATCAGGTTGCCTCAGCCTAAAAAGGGGTATTTGGCATCTAAAGGCACTGGTTCTGTTGTCTACCAGTATAGCTTGATGGTTAAATGTCTATTCCAGGTCAAATAGAGCGTTCCCTGGGGTTGCTTAGAAATTTGGTGCTCACTGAAAAACTCCCAGTTTAAATTCGCTATGGCTGCTGCTACATATATAAATTAAGTGAATCAACCAAAGGAATTTAATGAAAACCAGACCGTATTTGTCACAATAGACTTATACTCATGGTGACTGGTGTAAAGGTAAATATAGACATCACTTTGGTATCACTTTGTCTCTATTTGCTGCAGTCTATGACAGTTCCTAAAGTTGTGTAGAATTATGCTGGTCTAATAATTACAACTTATTTAATTGAATATTTAAATTTTTTTTTTCTGTTTTCACTGACAGCTTTTTCTCTATGGAAATGATCCACTGGTTAGTTCAGTCATTTCTTATATGCCTCCTACTGCATGATTATGTGACTACAATAGAAATTATTGCAATTTTGTTTGTTTTTAATTGTAAACAGCCTGAATTAAGGTGATATTATAATTACCTTGATTTTTCTTGAGGTATTGGCTCCAGACTGGGTTTAGAATAAGAAAAGGGTTGTAATTTAGTTTTTAGTGAGAATAAAGAAATTAAATAAATTGAAATTTCTAAAAAAAACAAAAAAATTATAAATTTTTGAACACACTGAAATTGTATGATTTGCTTGACTTTTACAACTGTTTAATTAAAACACAGTGACAAATGTTTATTTCTGTGGGCGTAAGGATCAAACAAACTGCAATAAATCAGCATGAATTTGAATGAATTTTCAATGGGTGGATATAATGCCTTCTATTATGAGGTAATTCTCAAAACTAAATTAACTGGAAATAACAGGTGCTGCAACAGGAAACAGTGCATTGCTTTCTTCAGCACAGATAAATTCTAAATCATTACTATATGTATTGATATAAATGGTCCATACTAAAACAAAAAAATTTCTTAGGAAATTCCGATATTTTTTTCAAGTCCTTGAAGGCAGCAGGATGACGTCAACTGTTTTGCTATTGGTAGCGGGAAGCGGAAACGTCTTTCTGTTCGGCCTTTCATGAGTGTTTACTTTTAACAGCACACAACAGATGAACCCACTTCGGTTCCAGAGTTTATTAATGTATAAAGTTTCATTTTAACCCGATAAGGAAGAATTCGTGAACTTTGCGTGGAAGTCCTCGAAACAGTTTTTCTTCCACAGCTGAATGTTTCGACTGCAATGGAGAGGTTATTAATAAGAGACAACCCGCTGCTTTTACCTTTAAACAAGGAGAAAACGGTCTACGACGGATTTATAACCCTTCAGGTAGGGTTTATTTGTATGTATGTATTTTTATCTCTTATGTTTAAAAGCGAATGCCCACACGCATAAAAAAAATCAGTTTGCATACACTGATAGAAATAGGACGTTTTTACAGTTCTGCAGGTTTCTCCTGTGTTGTTTACACCTGTTTTATTTATCTAATTAAGTCACATAGCTGCAACCAGGAGGATTAGGGCCACTGAAGAAATAAAAAGGGTTAACTGATTTCTAAATTTTATTTCACTATATTCATGAGAAAAAAAGACAGAATTCTGACTTTAATCTAAGAGTTCTGACTTTATTCTCAGAATTCTGTTTTTTTTTTTTTTTGCAATTCTGATTTAAATCTCAGAATTATTACTTTTTTTCAGAATTCCGACTTAAATCTCAGAATTCTGACTTTAAACTCAGAATTCTCAGAACAAAATTGTGACTTTTTCCCCCATAATTCTGACTTTAATCTCAGAATTCTGACTTTTTTCTAAGACTTCTGACTTTTTTCTCACAATTCTGACTTAAATCTCGGAATTCTGACTTTAATCTCAGAATTCTGACTTAAATCTCGGAATTCTGACTTTAATCTCAGAATTCTGACTCAAATCTCAGAATTCTGACTTAAATTCAATTCTGATTTTTTTGCAAAGGAGCTGCAGAGATGATCAGAGATGATCAGCTCAAGTATGAATATCTTTAAATGTCATAGTAAATGTTGGCCATGTATTCTATGGATATGTTATTTATGTACAGATAGAAAGCCTTAGCCTTCCCTCCTGCAGTTTGCTAAATATAACGCATTAGACCCCACCCAAACCAAAAAAAAACACACAAAAAAACACAGTGTCACCCTGAACACATCAAGCCAGCAACATGTCCTCAGAAGACATGGAGGAGAAAATTGGTCAGAGGCAGTCCTGTACAAAACACTTGTTTGGATTGGGGCAGCAGTTCTGCAAATGTTTAGATCAACAAAGTCAAGACTTTAATACAGTTCCAAAACTGGAAAATCTATTCTTATAATGTTCACCCTAGGAGCTTCCTGATGTGCATAGATTCCTAGAGCTTCCTGATATGCATAGATTAGGAAACTCAGACATAAGGGGTTCATTGAAAGGAAATTCTACCAAGGCTTTGGCCATGGGGTTAAACACAAATGCTGACTACACTTTTCAGATTTTTTTTCTATTGTAAAAAAAGAAATCATGTCTTTGTGTTCTTCTATTAAACAAAATCCCTATAAATTGTAGCAAGATTGAAAAATAAACAAAACGACTCTAAGATGTGTTATTACTTCTTTAAGGGAATGTGTGTTTTTCTCCAGGAAAGAGACTTCAGGATAAGAATTATTCTCCCTCCAGACCTCCAACTAAGGAAAGCCAGGTATGAATGATGTCACCTTTATTTGGTAATAACTGTATTAAAACCAAGCATGGATTCATATGCAGTGTTTCCTCCTTAAGTCTAACCAAAAACGACATATTTGCTCCTAACTTTGTCTCTGCAGGCTGCACTGCTGCTGGCAGCTAAAACACCTGTTGCGTGAATATGAGCCCATAGTGAAGCAGGTAAATGTGTAATCAGTTGCTCTTGGCATCACAGTATCAACTGAAACCTTGTGTCTGTCATCTCTGATTAATATCTTGTCATTTCCTTTGTATTTATCGCCATGTCATGTTGCCTTCTTTTTGCCCTCCTATTTTTTCCCCCCTCTGTGTAATTAACGTTGCCTGGAAAATGTCCGCATTTGTTACGTGGGTCCCTCAGGGTTATTTGGATGAGATTGATATTTCACCCTGGGCTGCAAAGTTCATTATTTTCCCAGCCTTTAAGCTATCATTAATTATTTAAGCAGGTGGCAGCACACATTAATCACAAACACAGTGTTTGATTTGAATGGCTGACTGAAGAAAAGAAAAAATAGATAGTGCCACTTCATTATACCTTCATTCAAGGATGTCTTTTACACAGAGGCTGCTGCAGTCGACCGATCTCAACAGTTTCATTCTGGAGTTGAAGACTATCCTGGTAAGGATGAGGATGACTTGTTTATAAAATCATCAGCAACAGAAGCTCCCCTCTGACCTTGGAGGATCTTAATAATATTATTAAACATTCCTATGAGCATTCAATTGAGAAATTAGTTAGATAAAACTGGCTTTATTGAAGTTTGGCCTTTGCAGAAATGATATTGTTGAATAGGTTTGAAGTGGTGTGATTTTCTCCTTTTACACGTGTGTTGCAGGAAGTGGCTCTAAGCCGATGTCCCGAGGGTCGCTCCATCCCGCCTCCTCGATATTATTCCCAGCTTATCTCAGAGATGGAGGCTCTTGGATGGGATAAGTGAGTATAGAAACATTATTAAAAGGACATTAGCACTGCAAAAAAAAAAAAAACACACATCAATGCATGTTCCTTAAAAACATATATATTGCTTCAAGGTACTTTAAAGAAAAAAAGCAACTTAAAACCAGTTCCATCCAGTCACACAGACATACTCCAGGTCAATAACATACATTGCTAAGTGATTAGTTATCAAACACAGCAGTCTTATTCAGTTTATTATTCAAATGACTTACATGTAGCCACAGTGGAAAGAAAACCCTCCCCCCTTAACGGGACGAACCTCATGAGCCACAACTGACTGAGGCTTTGAAGAGACAGAGCATGCAGAGAAACACTGATCCAGGTGTACTTTCTAACCCCATTAAGGCCCCGTCCACACGAAGTCAAAACGAACACGAAACGCTAATATTTTCCAGAACGTTTGTCGTAAAGACTGAGACGTAAAATAAATGTGATCGTCCACACGAATGCATGAAAACGCTGCAAAATGTATGCCAGGCCTGTAAGTGGCGCTGTGGTGCCAAAGCAAAAATAGGCGACGAAATGTTGGGCATGCGCACTAATATTTATACATGGTTGCCCTGCGGGTCCATTTTCGTGTTTCAGTCAAATTCAGATGCTGAACTATGTCGTCGATATTGCTCTGTTCTTCCTGGAGATATTCCAGAAGAAGAAGATTCTGTTGTAAGCCCGACAGCAGGGTGAGTAGCATTAGCAGCAACGGCGCCATTGTTGTTGTGATACTGGTCGTCATAGCGTCGCCTCTAAACACGCCTGCGTGTAAAAAAAAAAAAATGCGGTTAGAGCTTAAAGATGGAAACGTGAAAACGGCGTTTCAAAATCTTCCCACTCTGAAGGCTGAATAAAAAAAAGATCGTTTACAGACCCCCGAAACGCCGGCTTCGTGTGGATGAGAGGCTGGTTTGGTGAAAAATTTGTGCGTTTAGGCCAGGGTTCGGCTTCGTGTGGACGGGGCCTTACACTACCCTTGAAAAACCGTGCCGAAACCGGTCCGAGCTCAGTAACTCAGATAACTTATCGTGTGTAAATGGAAAGCAAACTGAACTGAACCGAGCTAGACACAACCGGACCAAGCTAACTGCAGACCAGTTCCAGAGGTGGGCTCGGCTCGGTTTTTTCCCTGGCTCGGTTCTCTGATAAAAAGAGCGCATGAGCAGAACGCGTCATCTCCGTCTGGCTGCACATCCCGATTCACACTCCATTTCAGTTGTTGGCGGTAATGCCCCTCCAGAAGTTGCTTGCCAACCAACACAAAACAGAAGAAGAACAACAACTATAAACAACAATTGCAATCTTCTCCACGCAACATTCTGATTACCTTGATTCCCTCCTTCTTCGTCTTTTTCTTGTGTTTTATGACGGTTGGCAATCAACTTTTGCTGCATTACCGCCACCAACTGCTTGATTTCCTCCGTCAATACTGGCAGTAATACTGCAGATCGTCACTAGGAGGCGAGGAGTCGAGGAACCGAGATAGCGTGATGTGTAAATGGTCGTCAGAACCAAGCTCGGCCTGGTTAACTGATCCGAGCTCGGACCGGTCTCGACATGGATTGTTTTTTCAAGGGTAGTGTAAATGGGGTATCTATGTACAAAAAAAAAAAGTTAAAATGTGAAAGGATTAGTAGCTCCTTTAATGGGTTCATCTAGGAGAGAAACATGAACAGATACGCTTAGTTTATAAGATGAAAGAGAGCCCATATAGTTAGTCACAGTGAAGGTCAGTACAGGGTTAGTGCTGATATAGCCTTTCCAAGTCAGGGGCCTTCGGTCATTCACACAGTGAGAAGCCAGGCCACATTGCACAGGGGCCAACTGACCTTCTGACCCTAAATAGTAGGCAATGCCTACTGATGGTGTCTTTCTTATGATCAAATGAAGGGTTTTTCCCAGCATATTTCAGTGTAGCGCATACTCAACTAATTACGAGAGTAACGGCCCTTTTACTCACATCTGGGCTCCCAGGGCTCTGTCCAGCGCATTTTAACACAAACTCAGATCACACTGAAAGTTGTCAAAATTAGGCTGATACACTGAATGTTAATTAGAATATTGACTATGGAAACTGTTTTTAAACACTGTTCTGTGTTTGTAAAAAAAAAAAAAAAAAAAAAAGGAATGGGTGGTTTGTGGTTCCAGTCAAGTACAGTGGTACCATGGTCTTTAAAGTATCAGGGCTTTTTGCTATGGCATAGCCGTGTTCAGGGCTGAATAAATTCATTATCTGGTAGCATAGGGAAGCATGAGGTGCTGTAACATTTGCTGATGGACAGCTGAAATGTAAATATATTGATGTAATTTTTGAAAACTTAGAAAGCACTTTAATAATCTATGTTTTTTTCTGTTTTGGTTTCATAACAAATATAAACCCAGGATATCCTCTAATTTTAATTAAAAAAAAAGAAATAATAATGTTTCTATCAACATAGTTTTATTGATAAAGCTGCATTTAGCTGCATTATTTTACTTTACATTGATGTTCTGATATACCTACACAGTGACCTATTGCTACTGTATTATAACAGGTTTAAGGTTTTATGGAGCTGTTCAGTTTCTAGAAAGAAGAAGAAGGACAAAAAAAAAAACATCTATTTAGAATAGCCTCAGGGTGTCTCAATAATTGCAATGTGTCCCAATAATCACATACCCATTCAAAAACCGATTATCAAAAATATTTGAATAATTATAAACTTATCAATGAAATAACCAAACATTTTTCCACTTATATATCTGTGAAATATTACAATTAAAATCAGAGTTGCTCAGATCAACCGTCTCAAGTTCCACTGAATTACTTTGTTAATTTCTTCTGTAGAGAACTATTGTTTCTAACAGACTAAACTGAGTAATAGTGAAACAGTTTTTTTTTTCCATAATGAACAGCATGTTAACATGGTTCCATTTCCTACTTACATGGTCCCAGGACACCATGGACGTAATTTGTCTGTGGAATTGCTTGCTGATGGAGCATATACTGTTAAGTGAACCCAATATCAGCTCTTTGTTTTTCTCTCTTTTAAGAAACTGACTCTGTATCAACAATGGAGGGAAAAGTTACAAACACATTACTTCTTAAGTTTCTTGTTTATTCCCCAGAGGAAAGATCAAGTTGGTATGTAGGAAATCTCCACGAATTCACAGCTAAATAGAGCAATCTTTTTTTTCCCCCTCTCCCATAGCTTTCAGTAACATATCACTACATTAGCGAGAGGTTCTTAATGACTTCCTTATTTTTAGTTATTGAGTTACAGTTAAATCCAGGTCGCCTTTAATAAAGCTCAGCTCTCATGCGCTGACAGGCAAAGCTAACACTGTCGTCAGGAGAAAGCAGTTAGCAGGAAGATATGTGTTCTCCCTCAGCTCGGATTAATCCTTGACTACCACACTCATTTTCCACTTTCCTATTAATGACCACGACTGCAATTATGATATTAGCAAAATGCAAATGGTTCTAATTGAAGACTCTCAGGTCTTAATAGGGTATGGGGGGGTGAAGGTATGCTTAATGCTAGAAATGGGACTGACATCATTTTCTGTGCGGTGTTACGGTTAGAAAGCATTATACACAGCGGGCCTCAATCTCCAAAGCACTCGAGATTTGCTTAGCGTCTTAATTGGTATGTGCCGTGCTAATAGCCACTGGGGGTTTCAGCTGTAATTCTGTCTGCTGATTGGACCAGGTAAAGTGAGTCTTCTCTTCCCCCTTCACGTGTCTCTGTTTGGCATTTCATAGTGTGGTCATCTTGTTAGAAAAACCTGCAGTGAAAAATACATTAATTGAAAATGGGGTCAAGTAGGTCAGCTTCTATCTCTTGGTTCCACCCAAAATGGGGCCCTGATGGCTTGTGGGCTCATTATTGGCACAGCTGGTGCTCTGTGGTGACAACCTGTTGGAGAACATGCAGAGCTTTCTGTTCTCTGATTGCAGTGTTATCACTCGTCACACTGTGTTGGTGGTTTTTAGAGGCCCCCCAACAGCATAGCTCTGCTGGCCCTGCTAGGCCCACCGCTGAGGGCTTCAGCTCACACTTCTATTGTTCATCTTTGTTTTTCTTACATTATTAGGCCAGCTAATAAATGACTCCCCCAAACCTGTAATATAGAAGTGATCACCAATAGGATTGGGAATTCCCATGCTACATTCTGTAAGTAATGAAGTTGTCCCGCGTACACACTAACTCTACAAACCCGACATATGAATCTTTATGCTGCGTGAACTAGTGTATAGTTCTTGTGCACTATATTTCTACACACCGCAGCTCTCTCTTCCCATCCTGCATGTCTATTTTGTGATACGACATCACAGAATGATCTCACTTTTCATAAATCCCGTGGTTAACATGCACATGGTGCAATCATAGCATGGTGTAGATGTGCCTCACATTGCTGCAGAGTTGCAGATGAGATGGTGTCATCAGTCGTCCTCAGGAGAGGTCCGACTATCATGCTGATTCCATCAGGGCTAAGCGGGGTGGCAGCAAGCCCCTGGAATCTAGGCCGGGAGGCCCTGAAATGGAAAGATGGAAATGCATGTTTTTCATACAATTGTTTACTAAGGGGCATGAGATTTTTTTTTTTTTATTTGTTTAAACTGTTCTTTTTTTAAAGGTGTAATTATTGATTGTTAAGGCAAAACACTGGCTCAAAAATAATTTTGTGATTAGACATAAATAAAAGAAAAAAGGAGGGAAAGGGAGCATCCTTAGAGGAGACTTAAAAAAAGAAGAACAGATCTACATTGAATGTGGGATGTAGTACTGTATCAGCCTATAAGATGGGCGTGAGTTTTAATGTCGGTAGACACCAATTCAGCCCACAAATGTGTTACATTTAAGAGGTTTGAGGTCAGGTTTTTTTTTTATTTAATTGCATTTTTTAGGAAAGTTATTGTTCTTCACAGGTGTCCAAGTGTTAGCCATGTATCACTTCATCAGGTAGTCTATCATCTCCATGTTTCTATTTGCTTTGTGTAAGGCTAGGATGTGATTTAACATCAATACACAGCCGTGCTTCAAGGTTTACATACCCGCCCATTAAATATCCATCTGGACATTCTTCATAAAGCCTGAAGCTGAAAGCCTCAGAATTAGCAAACTAAGCTGAAACGCTGAGATTGTGGCAGAAAACAGACCAGTTTAACTGTGATCTTCCACCCTCTGTCTGGAGTGGACATCTTGGCCGCTTTTCATCTGAGGCTTGTTGATCGCTATAAAGGCATTTGGTCGAGCTTCTATGGGACATTTACCCTAAATTAGGTTTCTATGTATATATATATATTTGATCAAATGCAGCTGATATAGTCTTATAGAACTAAATTCACAATAAGTTTAAGACATCCAAAGCATGATCGAACAATTGGACAAAGAATGGGCAGAAAGCTAAGATCCAAAATAACAAAGACTGGTCTGCATAAAATCCAACAGGTGCACCTTTGTTTTTACAATTAGGGGAAGTTCTTAAACCAAAGAAAAAAAAAGAAAGGTTTAATTAAATCATGTAAAAATTTTGACAACAATTTATGAAGGTACTGTAACTGTGGCTATTTGCTATGAAATACAGCTTTTGGCTCCTTTTGCCATTCTGCGGTTTTATTAATAATAATATTTACTTGGAAGTCATATGAAGAAGAAAAACTGCCATACTGTAATTGGCTCTGCTGCAGATTTTAGATTTGGCATTGGTTTCTTAAAAATCTGGCTGGCAAGCTCTTAAAATTTTCTCGTTTATGGTCGTTTTAGTCCCAACAAAATGTCCTGAACATGAAAGGAATGTCTCCTCACTAAGTTTTACAAAGAATGATACTTGCTGGTTTATACCTCCTAGCATCATTCTAACATTGTTAGAATATATCTTGAAGAACAGTTTGCCTGTCGTCAATGCTGTCAGGATGAAGCTGTTTGCTTTCAAAGTGTTGATGTGGCTTTTGTAATGACTTGTGAAAACTGTTGCCCTTCTCTGTGGCTTTGAGTGCAAACGTGTGGGAGAACAGACAGTTTTTATGAGCTGTGCCCGAATGGCCAGCATCTCCCATCATTCCATCACTTCCCTAAGTGTGTGTCCGAACATTTATCTCTAGCTCCTCCTATAAATCTCGTTTCGATATACAGCTCTGTCATTTTCCTCACAGAGCCTCCACTATAATGTCCTGTAAATCTGGACAACGGATGTTTGGGACCTTTTTCTGAGATCAGGCCTCAGTAGAGCAGAGGTAGACTTCTGATTGGTTATAACTAGTTAAAACGATCCCTGTGCCATAAATCTAACAGCACTGTTGGCGATTAGTCACACCAACTCAACATTTTGTCCTTAGCCCCTCAATAAATTATAATTAGCACATGAAAGAGAATCTGATTTATAGGGCAACTCAAATTTAAAGTCAGCCAGAGACGCATTATTTTCTGACAGTTTAAGTCCTCTTTTATAAATGCAACAGCCGCTGTGATGTAGTGTTAATTTGTTTCTTGGCAAAGTGCTGGTTCTAGTGGCCTATTCAATCATTGGCATTGCTGTCTGGAGAAGTATGGGATTTAATTTTTTTTTAGGTCTGGATAAAAGTGGAAAAATAGAAGGTCCTTACCAGGTTGGTTTTAGCTTTTTTTTTTTTTTTTTTTGCTTTTCTAAAACAAAATTGCCTTTTCTGTGATCAAAAATAACTTCATATGACTAAGCTTTTCTCTTTCACATTTTTCACAACAATTACCTGGCCTCACCTCGCAAGCTGGGCCGCTGTCATTTAAAATCCACCTCAATTGTGGGGTATTTGGGGCAGAGAAGGTATAATTCTGCTCTGTTCCTCCTCAGGATGCTTTTCATTGACATGGACTTCCAAACACTGAAACTGGGTGCTGAGGACTCCTCTGGCAGGCAGCACGTTCTCACTGTTAAACTCAAAGCAAAGGTGAGCCACTAAATGCAACAATCACAGGAACTTTACAGCAACTTGATCATAGTCGCTCCATGAATTGTTCATCATCCAGTGGAATACTGCATGGTGACCTGTGGTGAGTTCAAATCACAACAGGCCAACGTCTCCAAAACTGCGTACAGGGAAACATTCATTTAGATGATGGCAAATCTGTGATTTACATCTGTGGCGCTAAATGTAGGTCAGACTGGAAAGGATGTGGAGAGAGATGATGACCTGCTGTGACTGAGATGTAGCTCAGATAATGTATCTCTTTACTAACCTCAGCAGGATGATAGAACCTTCCTGTGTGCACAGAGAAACCAATAAATTTACAATAATCTGCATAGCTGCTGCTGCTAGTCATTGTTTTCATTTCCCATTTAAAGTATTTTATTTACTTTGATTTTGTTGGCTCAAAAGTCAAATGTCCGTCCCTGACCAGGTCACCGGTTGCTGTTTCGATGCATGACTTATACCGAGCTACAGAAGGAAAATCTTTGGCTTTTTTCCATTATCTTAAACCTCAGCCACTGAAAATATGCACCCTTTATGAGCCTTAGCAGCTTTGGAAATCCATCCAACAGACCATATATGTTATTGGCATTTAGTATTTCTGTACGTTGCGCTTGGAATATAATAAACTATTAAATGTTGCATCCAAACACCCCTTTTCAGTTAAAAATTTTAGATATTTATAGTTGTGATGACCATTGTGGTTTGAGATGTTGAGTATCTCTGAAAGAGACATAAATACTTTGTGTTAGTGGCTTTTCTTTAGAAAAAATCAGCTGATTTAGATTCTAAATTGACTATTTAATCACTCTTTTTTTTCTCAGGGATTAAACGTTTTAAATTCAAAAGGTTCCCTTGTTTTTTATTACTTAATGATACAATATTAGATTTCCTTACAGCTGCTGTGAATTGTTCTTTGACTAGGTTAAAAACTTGATTTAAAAAAATTTACAGCTCCTTATTTCATGCATTTAAGCTTACAAAAAATCTTTCAGGACTTTGAAATGAAGTTTATTTAAAACAAAGATAAAGAAATGCTTTTAAAAAGTTTTCTTTCATCATTGCTCAAAGTCTGGTGTAGGGGCAATGGAAGAAGTTTAGAATGGGCTGCAAAGTGAACATGGTGAGATGGTGCTTACCTAAGCTGGGATGACGTCCACTGGGGATAACTAGGGACTGTGAGACCCCACATTGTGCCCACCTGCCCACCTGGCCCTCCCCAGCCCTCTGGCATCTCCTGGCCTCCAGCTGCCTCCCCCAAATCCAGCGCCAGGTCATTCCTCACCAGACACAGCTTTGGAAGAAGGAATACTGGCATGGAAACATGGAAGCTTGGATGGCTAGGGAGTGAGGGAGGACTGGGAAAGGACAAAGAGTTTTGTGATCCTGAAGGTGAACAGAGAAAAACGGTTACCTCATGTTTATACACCTAAAGTTTTTAAAAAAACTTCTGCAGTGGTTTTACCATTATCTTCTATAACTTTAATAAAGTATAAACGACTGATGCATTGCTAAAAGATTATAAGGAAAGTAGGAAATAGCATTTTACTAAGTGCTGTACGTAAAATATTGGAGTGGAGTTGTGCATAGAGCCCATTGTTGTAGTCTGTGATTATTTATACAGCAGTGACTGACTGTCTCTAAGAGCAGAGCCTACTTCCTTTGAGTTAACACCTGGAATAGACAGAGACAAATTTTTTACTTGTGGTTAATGATTAATAACTTAGATACCAATGTATATTGGCACACTGACTGACCTACCGCCTGAAGACAAATGTCCGGCTTTCCATTTATTTAAATTATGATTATTTGATATGGACATTACATATACATTGGAAAACCACATGTACCGCTTACTGTAGGTGTGTTAGCTCGAGTGCTAGTTTTCAACACCAGTCCATAGGGAGCTTTGAGAACAAAGTTACAAGTAAACCATTACACGATAAGATTTTTAAAATATTTAATCATTTTCAAATTACAAGAGCAGTGGATTAAAGAAGACATTTATACATTAATATTGACAGGCTTGAGTTGATGGTCTTATTGAGACGTCTGACAAGAAGAGAAGAAAACTGGCAACACTTGATTGTTCACACATTTAAAAGTTAATTTAACAGAACTAAAATGTATGAAGGTTTTGAAAGTAAAACGCTTTGGCTTCTGTATTATGTCACAATGATGACACCTTATAGGTTTCTTGTCCAAGACCTTAACCGACTGATTAGAAAGAGAAAACATTGGATTCAGTGTGTGATAGATGAGAAACGATCATAACATGTACTTAAAACGAGGCTGAAGAAAAAGGCAACTTCTGATAAAATGGAAACAGTTCAGATTAGATTGAACCTTTTTGCGTATTTATTTTTTACTTGACTTTGACGTTTTAAATGTTGATAAAACACAATACCAGATATTTGGTGTTGTTTCCTGATGTAACCATTTGAAAGTTAAAATTATCCAGAAAGGTATTATCTGACCTCATTTGCTTTGAGAAAGAGAAATATATTGAAAGAATATTCATATTATATAATGTAGGGAAACAATCTGATTAATTGTGATTAATCAATTATTGAAATAACCGTCAACTAAAGTAAACGATTAATCATTAACTGGAGTATAGAGACTCTTAAATATGCTTTTAGCTGTCAGAGCAACCCAATTAGAGCAGTAATATAAAAATAGTAAACAATATAAGAACATTTTACATTTAAATTTTTAGTTTCACCTGGTTTAATTTCGTAAAAAATCTTCTTTAAGGAAACTTTTGCTATCCAATTATTAATCGAAAAAAGAATCTACAGATTAAAAAATTTGCAAAATAGTCGTTAGTTGCAGCCCTAATTTAATGTCAAATGTGAATATATAAGCGGATTGGAGATGTGGACTCAGACGTTTGTTATTTTGCCCTGCAAGGCTGTTTTTTTCTGATACATAAATAACTGTCATCAGCATATAGCTGACAGTTGACACGCTGATAGCAAACCAGCAGGTCATTTATATACATTGAATAACAAAGGACCTAATATTGAACCCTGAGGCACCCCCATGTCATTAGGACAGAGCTCAGATTAAACTGCGCCGAACTTAACACACTGCTGCCTTCCTTCTAAATGAGACTAAACCATATAATGGCTGCAGCCGACATCTTAAATTGCTGTAATTTTGATATTAATATACAATGATCGACTGTATTAAATAATTGTCTTAAAAATACTGCACAAAAAATACGGCCTTTGTCCAGTGAGGTTTTTAGCTTGTTTAGCAGTTAGTTGTTTCTGTGTTGTACTGTTGTTTGAAGCTAAGCTACTGAGGATAAACTTTGTATCTACAGGGAGGATGGATCTAGGCCTGTATCGACCTGTTAGGTCATTGTCACATCATTTGTCGTTATATCAGCAGTTTTCCAGCTCTGTTGGAATGTGTTTGTCTGTATTAAAGATTCACCAAGGGAGTAACAAGATCTAATAAGTTACTCACATGTTGCCAGTTGAGAATTATGGCCTCAGACTTTGCTGAGTTTCTTCTCATTCGAGCCACTTTTGCTGCAAACTGCATCAGTGTGCCCTAAAGGTCCTGACTCTTGGAGTGGAACGATGCTTGGTCAGGGGGTGTCCTTTGCTTTCACGGAATAAGGATAAACTTTAATATGCAGTGTTTGGTAAAAGATAATCAGGATTTTAGAAATGCTTTGCTAAAACGAAGTTTGGATGTTTTATAACAGATTTCATAACAGAGTCTCTTTACTACATCCACAGCATCCAACAGAGGCTCCTGACTGTTCAGCTGACCTCCCGATCCCTTTGGCCATCACCTGGACACCTCAGGTACGCACATGCACAGATCTCCTCAAAGCTTGCAAAATTAATAAAAGCATAAATATGTTAAATGACATGACTTTGTTTACCATATATTACGAATCAAATGATTTTACATCTTGAGGCAGACAACACAAAGCTGTACATAACAATGTCACCAGGTGACTTTGAACCCATTTAACTACTAGGTTAATGCATAGAGAAATCAGCGCTCCTTTGGATGTGCCAAAATTTTGCTCAGCTAAGCCAAAAAAAAAGTGATCAACAAAGTCTTTGGATCAATGGAAGAGCACTTCAAATTTAGCACAGGGTTTCAGTTAATATAACTAACTGGCTTAAAATCTGGGTGTCATGATGGATTTCTATCACCTTAAGAGCATCTCTAGGATTAAAGGACTAATGATCAAGCAGGATCTATCTAGAAAAAGGAATTCATGCATTGATCTTTAATAGAATTGATTACTGCAGAGGTGTCCTCACATGCCTGCCCAAAAGGCAGATCAGACAGCTGCTGGCGATCTAGAACGCTGCTCCCCGCGTCCTCACTAAAACTAAGAAAGTAGAGCACATCTCCCCAGTTCTAATATCCTTCCTCTGACTCCCCGTACTTCAGAGAGTAGACTTTAAAATGCTTCTTACTCTATAAATTAATGGATGTCTTAGCACCAAATTAAATTATAGATTTGTTGTCAGTCTAGAACTGTCAGGTCTTCTGGCTCAGATCTGTTCTGCAAACCCAGAACCAAACATGAAGAGCAGCTTTTAGATATTATGCTCCACTAATCTGGAACAAAGTCCCAGAAAACCCTAAAACGTAGCTGCTTGAGCTGGGTTTTGTTGCTTTTTACTGTACTATTTGAAGATTATTATAATTTCAGTTTTTAGTCCAACTCTTCTTCTTTAATTTATCATTAATTGTTTGATTACTAATTTTCTTCTAATCATTTTTTTAATTATTCAATTATATTATCTTTAATTATTCATGGTTATTCATTATTTAACTAACTTTATGCCACTGAAATAAATAAACCTGCGTTAACTAGTCCACTGCTGCGCAGATGCCAATAGGGTGTGATGGTGAAGAGGCTGTAGTCTAAGCCGAGCAAGGCCAGTTGTCCTTCTACTTCCTCAGCCGATTTCATATGCTGCCACTGGGATAATGATTTAACAAATCACTGCTAGATCATAACAGTTAAAGATCTCTGCCATTTTTAAATGCATGAGTCCAGTGATTGGTGTTTGCTGTTAAAATAGGGCCTCACTCTGGAGCACAGTGGACTTGTTTTTAGATCAGCTTATTGCCTCAATAATAATGTTTTTGTGTGTCTTTCCCCACAAGACTATTAAAATGTTATCTGATTCTCTCAAACCCAATATCTTTTATTATCTCATTTCATGAACTGAATGTATTTGTACACCCCTGTAGTTTTCTAAGCCATGTATCGAGTCCTTTTGTGCAAGGAAACTGAAGAGCTCCCGAAAAATCCTTGAATCATTCTGAGTCATAATGTGACGATACGCGTCTCCACCTGCTAGATTAACACTTTTTCTTTCAGCCCTTCAAATTAAGTCGGCTATAATTGCTGTAAAGGTGCTTTGATGTAGAACCAGCTGTGGGCTCTTTGTATCCCTGTGCTTCCTCGTTATTGTGGTTTGTCGTCTTCCTTCTTTCATCTCTGTCGCTGCCTCCGACTCGGTGTCAGTCTTACTCTCAGACACTATATCGGAGCACTGGACTGGACTGTTCTTTCTGGCGTGTAATAAAGTCCAAAACCTGATTGCAGAGTGAGGAGTGCAGAGCTGAGCTGAAATATGTCATAGACGCTGTTAAAAGAAGCCAGGGAGGCAGAGAGTTGGTGGTTTTTAGGAAGAGACGCTTGATGTGTGTGTGGGGGTGTGTTAGCTGATACATGGCAGGCGTACAGTGAGGACCAGCTTAGAACAGCGCTACCGTATGGAGCCTGTCTGCCTGCTGGGCCGTTGATGGATCTCTCCCACTCGGCGACATGAAGCGTGTGTGAGTGTGTTTGTGTGTATACATCTATGCGAGTGTGCATGGTTTTAACTGTGCCAAGAGTGTGTTGTGTGTGCGGACTTGTGTGCAGGGGGAAGGGCCTGTCTGTCGGCAGCCCTGACATGTTCATTTGAATGAGTAATTATTGCCTGCTCTGTTACAGGGCCAAGATGTGCCACTCAGTGCGTTTGTATGGAACAAGATGTGGAAGGGAAATAAACCTGTGTGTGTGTGTTCATGTCCTTTATCCTTGCAGGTTCTACAGTTTGTCAACCACCAGAAACTGCATATGTGTAGATAAAGGTGGCGTATAAACAATTATGCATTAAAGATTCATCTGCAGGATTCCAGTTTAAAAATCTGGAATGGTACCAAATTTGACTTAAAGGAATAGTACACCCAAAACATGATTAGCCTTCATTTTCTACTCACCCCCATGCTGAACAACACTCTGGAGTACTTTTTTGATATCTCAAATGCATCTGGAGATCTGGGAGGCTTCTTGCTGTCTGCTGACATTCAAATAATGGAGGTCTATGGTGACCGAGACAGAAAGGTCCATAAAAGTCCACAAAAAACGTGTCAATATTCCCCCATACTGCTCTTCCAATGTATTCCAAGTGTCCTGAGTGGGTAGCATCCAGAATTTACTCGAAACGAAGTCATTTAGAATGTTTTCAGAGCATAAACAGTAGTGTATAGGATTTCCTGAAAGCGCACACATGCGCGCTCACGACGCTACGGAAGCCGGCAGACCAAACCAGCGCATTCAGCGCGGCAAAGAACTCATGCTCTTCCTCAACACTGAAGTCCTCAGACATTTTTCTTTCGTTGTTTCTTTCTTTGCACAGGTAAACAGCACATTTCTTCTTCTACGCTTGCATTATCGGCAGAGCAGACGCTGAATGCGCACTTTCATCTGGCTTGGTCTGCCGGCTTCCGTAGCGTCATGAACGCGCTGGCGCGCGCTTTCAGGAAATCCTATACACTACTGTTTATGCTCTAAAAACATTCTAAAGGACTTCGTTTCGAGTAAATTCTGGATGCTACCCACTCAGGACACTTGGAATACATTGGACGAGCAGTATGGAGGAATATTGACACGTTTTTTGTGGACTTTTATGGACCTTTCTGTCTCGGTCACCATAGACCTCCATTATTTGAATGTCAGCAGACAGCAAGAAGCCTCCCAGATCTCCAGATGCATTTGAGATATCAAAAAAGTACTCCAGAGTGTTGTTCAGCATAGTGGTGAGTAGAAAATGAAGGCTAATCATGTTTTGGGTGTACTATTCCTTTAAGGGCTTAAGCAGGTCTGGATCAGAGCGGGAAAAATCTAGAAAATGATTTGCAGCTCTGTGTTTGATTCCCTGTCCTGTCTTATCCATCAGTTTCCAAACAGCCATCCATCCACCATCAGTAATCTGTCCATGCATTCATCCATGCGTTCATCCATCTGTATTTTAGTCAGTTCATCCATCCACACCTGTTTTATCTGTCCATTCATTTTTTTCACACCCATACATACAAAAAACTTGATGCTCAAAACTGCAGTGGGTTAAAACATTGATCGCTCTAAACTCCTGACATTCTCCCCAAAGTCTAAAAACATCACTAAAATGCTTACCTAAATGAAATTAGAACCATTTCGAGATGAAATACATAGAAATTATATTCTATTTCACTTGGAATTTATTTTTATTGTCATTGTATATGGACAGCAACTAATATATGGACAAATAGTCCTATAGATATAATTGAGTATTTTGGAATCATTTGGACAGTTTTTTCTATGGGTATGTTTTGGGATTTTCTCAATCAAATAGAATAGAATTAAATAGAATACCATTTTAATCTCATTCTAAAAAATACAACAAAATACAAAAAATGCCTCCTTAAAAAATGCATCACTGCCAACATAAAGCAGCAAGGATAAAACCCCCCAAAAAAGCAGACAACTATTCCTTACATTGTGATATTGCTCCAATCCTTTTAGACATATTGCAAGTTGGATGTTTTTTTCCCAATAGAAGCTCTTCTTGAAAGGGTTGATTCTATTTTTTAAAGCTCTGTTGCTTTTCCCCGATGCTAACAAGTCAAACAGAGCGCGACCTGGATGTGATGTCCTTGATGATGTCATGCACTTTTTTGAGGCAGTGGAAACTGTGTAGGTCTTGCAGTGTTTGGAGAGGGCAGCTGATCATCTTCTCAGCAGTTCGAATGAACCTCCGATGCACTTTAATCTGAGCTGCTGTACTGCTGGTGTAGCACACATTGAATCTGTATGTGTAAACACTCTGTAGAGCATTGATAGTAGGACACCAGCAGTCACTGCTGGGCCTTCTTCAGAAGGTCCTTTAATGCACACTCACAGGAAGGTGATGGTCAACTTTTAGACATTTTGGTATCTTTACCATTGATGCAATTGGGTCCAGGGAAACCATAGATGGATGAATGGTTGATGACATGATAATTTTTTGGCCTTTTAGTGAGTCACTGAAGCTTTGTAAGTTTTAGGACCCCACTTTATATGATCCATACCATCCACTCATGTACAACTAAACATGCGGTTATAAGAAAGTTCCTCCTTTTCTCTTGATTTGAATACTTTTATGCTTCTTCTGTGATCTTGTTTCCACTGCAAAGGCAATTAAGACATTAACAGAATTTCAGATGCAAATGAGGAAATTGAGTCAAATATCAGGAACAAGCTGAAAATAACACAGTTATGAATGTTAATGGGTTTTGTGTCAAAATTATAAAATGCAATAACTGATATTCATGTTTCCTAGCTTCTCAGTACATAAGATAATGAAAGTTTCTCTAAAAAAATGTGCTTCTTAGGTTATTGCTGAGAAGATGAATAGCTGAAAAGGGTTAAAAGCAGAGAAACGTAACAGCATCTTCAGCATTTCTGCTCTCAGAGCTGAATAGAGGTCAGGGAGAGACATCATTGATAGATAAAGAGAACTGATTGAGACAGCCAAAGAGCAGCGCTCAGCTCAGACTCAGCTCCTTTTATCCTCTGCTGCAGCCTTCAGCTCTCAGGTTCTTCTCTGATCGAGCAGGAATTTAAGTAACAGCTGAACCGGGCCTCGAGTAGTTATCGTGGGCTCTAACTGTAATCATGGCGCTGACATTAATTGGGCTGTAATTGCTGAGGCTCTCAGCACCTGGACGAAGCTTAATTGTGTGCACTGTGCTGGCACAATGACCCATAATTTTTGGTTCATTTTTTTCCCCTCATTTTTTTTCGCTCTCATTCCATCTGCATTGCTCTCCTGCACCTCTATCAGCGTCTCTTTCAGTGCTTGTGTTTATATGTGCACGCTTAATGCAGCTTGAGTTGCTGCTGTTTTTAACCGACTGGTTTTAACCGCTCTTATTTCTTTTTTCCTCTCAATCAAAAATGTCACGGCAGAAACTGTTAGCCCCAACATGCTCCTCAGTGTTTAACTTTGACTAAATCTTATGTACATGTTTAGTGAAGTGTGTCTGTTTTAGCTTTGACATATGTGTACCTGAGCTGTAGATATTTTTAGTTGTTTCAGTAGAATGCAGCACTTTTTCCCTGATCCATGCTGTTTGTGTTTTTTTTAGAGTACTCTAGAGCAGCTCCACAGCCAGTTCCTGCTGGTTCTGGAGTCCCTGACAGACTTCTGGGACGTCCTGGATGAGATCGACAGAAAGACCTGGGTTCTAGAGCCAGAAAAACCCAGCCGTTTTGATACAATGAGACGGATTGCAATTGGTTAGTGTAACACTTCCATTTTCCTGCAACTAATCTAGGCAAATTGCAACATGATTATTGTAGTAAAGAAAGAACTGACATAAAAAACATAATTTGAAAGATAGCTGCCATTATTCTCTTCACTTTCCCAGTGACACATTTACCTCTATACAGATCTAGGCTACTTTAAATCACTGTAATTTCCATAAACCGACCATTCTCACTGTTTATTGAAAACCAGAGTCACAGCCTTTCCATTAAGTTATTTTTATTTTCAGGTCAGCTCTTGACCTTCCTGAAAAGTTTAACATTTTACTCAGAAAAGGAAATTTTATTCATGTAGATGTTGCCTCAAGGCTCCTGCCTAGCCTGGATAAGTCTAAATTTAACTTCATTATCTTTTTCAGGGCTGAATAAGTATTAAAAATAACGTTATTTTAAGAGTTCAATTTCTAATCTATTCTCTAATTGTTGTTTTTACGTTTTACCCTCTGCTCTTACATTCTGATTTTCTTTTCTTCCCTAATCCTTTCTTCTTCACTCACACCATTTCCTGTGACCATATTCTTCTCTTTATTTGTTTGGCTTTACGTTTTGGCTCCCAAGATTCATTTTTTACTCCCTTCCATTTCAATCTCTGTGTTGAATTATTTCATGTAATGCATTGAGCACAACAATTGATCAACATGTTTCATAATTACACTAATAAGTAACAATAATAAAGCAAATAAATAGAAATAAAACACAGGGATTACGATTTCTTAAAACTATTTCAAGTATCATAGTCAGTCAAAGGCTAAAAAAGACTTTTTAATATTTTTTAAATAATTGTGCTTTGAGCAGAACAGACATTAAGGTATTCCACACTCTTTAGGTGCCACAGCGAATTCTTTACCACCTTTATTTTTGACTTGCGTTTCAAAGCATCAGAGAGAAAACTGGCTGGTTTGGCTCAGTTCTATTTAAGGTTTGTGCAGGTTTTACTACATCAGGTAGCTAGGCTGGCAATAGAACATTTCACACTTTAGAATAGTACAATATTAAAATCACTGTAAGGACACAGGGAGCCAAGGAGGAAACATTAGGTCTGCAGTTAACTGTTCATGCTTTGTTGCATTAGTTAAAAGATGATCCTGAATTATTCGTAGGCTGCATGGATGATTAATCTGGCCCATTTTTTAGAGTTTTACAGTAGTTCAGGCTAGGTGATTTTGCCAGAAATCAAAATTGCAATTAATTGACAAATATTACAAGTTTATTTTGAATTTCTTTGCACTTACTACATGTGTGTAGATGTTTCACTAGACTCCATTGTTGCAGGACTTTACTGTACCGGTAACCTTTGTGTGAAAAAGTTCTTACTTCTGTTTGCATGCATTGATCTGTGAGCTAGCTAAAAAATCTTTACTGTGGTATTACTGCCACCTAAAGGACTGGAGTTAGATCATTTGGTCTCTTTCTTCTGTTAAATGTAACGTGACCATAATTGAGTGCCTCTGTGATTTGAACATTTCGATTTTATTGCAAATGGAATTAATTACTTAGCCCTAGTTTAGATTAGAAAATAAAGCTTTTATAAGCTTCTTAAGATTCCTAAAAATGGGATGAGGCTTTATTTTGACACTGAGTTTTTGGAAAATCTTTTGGTTGAAATTAAAAAGACATCTTTCTGAGAGTATGAAAATATTAAAAGGTTAGGTTGTTATTCTGAAAGTCTGTGGACAGGATGTTGCCTTTTTAACCCCACACCTTAAGGGGGGGTCATCTCACTGATGCCTGTAAACATCAGACCATATCTGTGTCCAGGGAATAACGTCTCGATCAAGGTGGAGGTGGATCCGAGGCACCCGAAGATGCTACCAGAGTGCTGCCTGCTGGGAGCAGATCATGGTGGGTTGGAATCCACAGACAGTAACACTGTGCTTTTACTACATTACGCTCCAACAGCTGACACAGTGTATTAAAGCATGAAGCGATATCTCATTAGGATTCAGTTTTTAGGGAACTGCTGCTGCCTCAGGGTCATGTGCATGCCCAACATCACAGGAACATCTATGCCTTGGAGACTAAACTCAGGCTTCAATTACATCGATGTTTAATAACACTACTGTCTCCAGATGAGTGTTTTTCTAAAGCTCAAAGTCGTTATGATTTAACAACAAAAAAAAAGTCTGGATTTATGAAAACAAAGGGATAATATATATCCCACCAGTCCTAAGTCTTAAGTTCACCTTTTCAAAAATGTAAATAATGAAGTTTGAGCATGTAGCTTTGAAATAATGCATAACACTTTTTTCTTTTTTTTTCAAGAGGCAGCCCATGAAAATCAGCAAAACCGGTAATAAAAAAGACCATTGGCCAGTTACTGTATTACCTAAACCTCAAAAGTATAATTTAATATACAGAACAACCGCAAAAATCAACTTATATAGTTCTGGGTTTGATTTTAAGGGTGCATTAAAGGATCTCTGATTAATGGTATCCCATATTGCCTTCTGCTATTTATCAATATATGACTGTGATTCTGATTTGGCTGGTCAGTGTGCCTAAAAAAGTGCTGCACAAATTCATTCCATTTACTGTTAATGTTGCAAACAATTGTTTCCATTTTTATATCACCAATATAACTAGTTTTGTGATTTAAAGCTCTAAATTAACAATCATAATCTACGGTTTGATTAAAAACTGCAATATAAAGTATTTTACTATCTAAACAACTGGTTGCAGTAAAACAGAGATGCCTCCATATTTTTTTCGGAAAACAGGCTCTATGGCTAAAACTGCAGCTGTAATGCTTGGACTATTAAGTAAAAAAAAAAACAATAGTCACTGTAATTAATGTTAGTATTAAGCCACAATAATGTGTTAGGTTTATTCTTTTATACATCATGTGCATTGTTATTTTATTAGCCAGATTAGAGAGAGTAGAGGGCCTTCCTTCACATTGTGGATGTCACTGTGTGTCAGGAGGTCATCTAAATAGGACAGCCTTCTTGTCTTTTAAAGATACACAGGATATGGGCACATCTTGGAGCCGGACTGATAGAGGAGAGCTATCTGTAATCCTTGGGCATGGATGGCGTTTCAGTTTCTGATACGGACAGTTCAGCATCCACCTGATCCAACACATAGACTCACGAGGTATAAGAAGGAGAAGATGACCTTGTTCGGGGCTCAATCTTTGCCGGACGCTCGCTGACGTTTTTTGAGCCCACAGCTGTGCAAGCTCCAAGCATTTTTCTCTGTCCTGTAACGACCTGATATTGAGTAAACTGTTACGTTTTTACTCCTGTTTTTATAGTCCTTTTTTTACATGGTTTCACCCAGTTTGAGTTAAGAGTAGTAAATAACTTGCTCCCAGGAAAGAACCGGAAGGGAAGTCCCGAGGCGCAACTGGCTTCAAGGGGACATAGCTTCCACATTTAACAAATGTAACTTAATAGGTTATTGAGTTTAGAAGCACATGTCGTCCTTTGCTCTTACAGAGAAAAGCAAAAATAAAGGAATACTTTTGATTCTCTTCAAATTTGTCCCAAACACTTTGTTGCAGATTTATGCTTTGCCACTCACCATTATCCACCTGTAGTTTTCTGACAATCAAAGGTCCATGACATAACCGTATATATATATATATATTTATTAAGAAATAAACTTGGTTAAAATAAACTCTGGATGTTACCATGTTAATTCACTCTATTTTCCTTTTTAAAAATATTAATTACTTTAGTTTAATAGAATAAATATACTGATCAAACTAAAGAAAGCCTCTCGTGCTGAAGCCATTTTTCATTAATACTTTTCATTGCTTTAATCAGGACTGGTAATTACTTATTAAAAAGAAATTTCCATTTTTAATTACTTCTATTTCTTGTGTAAAACCCCACAGTACATTAAAGAAAACACAGAAAGATCCTCCTTCTCATGGCTACCTGTTTTCAGACAGACTGTTTGTCGGTTGTTGTGTGCCGCCATGTCATTTTCACAACAAGCCGACCAGCCATGCTTTGAGCTTCAGCTTTCTAGTTAAGTCTGTGTCAATTGTCGACCATTGTTTCTGTAAACCCAAGGTCATGTAACTCCTCGCCTGTTGCCTAGCAATGCAACACAAAAGATATTAAATGCACGCACGCTTCAGACACCAAGACAAGAGGCGACCCTCAAATACGGAAGGTCACGCAGAAATATTGCTTTTTGCATGTAGGAAAAACAAATATGAAAGTGATGAGGGGCGCATGGAGACGGAGCTCCCTGAGGAGCGAAGGTTCACATGTGACAGTGATGGCTCCATCAGAGGGTGTGCAGAGGGCCTCTCTTTTGAGACAGACTCATTTTTTTCCCCCCTCGGGGGTTACGGACAATCCTGGAGGATCTGCAGGTGCTTTGCATTTGGGATGACAAAGTTCGACTTAAATCTAAGGCTGTTACTGTCATCCGAATTCACACCCAGAACAAAGTCCCACCTTTTGTCCTGTTGTTGCAGTGGTGACGCCGCTGAGGAACAAACTGAACGCCAACATGCACATGTGGTGAGTTTTGCAAATCGTCACCTAAGCCAGCTTTTCTTCTCCAGGTCATCCATTAAGATATTCTTTTCACACTTTACTTTCTATTCATACATGCTGATGATTACATGTGAAACTATAGCAATGTATTAAGAACTAGTATATTATGAAAAACATCAGTGTAAAGGCCGTAGTCCGGCTGCCTTTACTGTTCCTCCTTTTTTTTTCCTTTTTGCCCTTTAAATTCAATGTTTGTTTTTCTGATTTATTTAGATTTTTAATCTGTTTCAACTGGTTTATTACAATAATTTGTCTTATTCTGCTGTGAAAAAAACATTTAAAGGCGGCAGACTGACTGGATATAAACTCACTGACCATAAAGTAAAGCTCAGTTGTTTTCCTGAACATGAGAAAGTAGGGCTTCCAACTGGTAATAGCAAGGTGTACCTAATAAAGTGGCCTGTGAGCCAGTAACATTTCTATGTCAGAGACCTGTTTGCTTTAGAAAGTCGAAGTAACCTTCAGCTTTACATCCTTAATTTACAGCTGGACAGGTTTAACTAGGGGAGCAGAATTCATGGTTCCATCAGTTTTATGTCTTCCAGGTCGTTTATCAACTAAGCATGTATTTGATGCACATTAAATAAATGTTTAACACTTATTTTGTACTCTATAATCAATTTTGTTATCATCTTCTAAATCTATTATTTTTTAAAAAGGATTAATATAACAAAGTATCAAATTAAATAATGAAGATATTTCTTATATAAGTTACACATATCATCCTATATCTGCTTTTAAATGCATTTCATCATAATGTGATCTGAAATAAAAACAAATCAGGGAATTAAACACCTATTAATGTAAGATTGAAATTAATCGGTTAAATTCCAGGATCTTTGGTCCTCTTAAAATATATGTTATCTGTTTGGTTTTTTAAGTGTAGATATTTATATAAAAAACATGGAAAAAGTTGCAATTTTTCAGCAAACTCTGAATTTCTGAAAAAAAAGGGCTTTATAAGCCAGAAGCTTTTTTATCTTTATTTTTGTTCTAATTTTTTCATCACGGTTCTTAACAATTAATCACATTCACTCTAAAATCCAAATATCTAAGAAAAAGCCTTTAGACTTCAACTGGACCCAAGACTTTGGGGTTCAAAGCTGAGATGACAAACCAAACACATTTAAATAAGGTTTTTTAATAAAACTCCGAAAAACCAGAGAGAGTTAGAAATGTTTGATAGTAACACAAAGACAACCAGGAGTTAAAATATGATAGGAATTAGGAATTGTTGGAAAGTTATACAGGGAATTTTAGTGTAGTTTAAAGGAATAGTACACCCAAAACATGATTAGCCTTCATTTTCTACTCACCCCCATGCTGAACAAAACTCTGGAGTACTTTTTTGATATCTCAAATGCATCTGGAGATCTGGGAGGCTTCTTGCTGTCTGCTGACATTCAAATAATGGAGGTCTATGGCGCCCGAGGCAGAAAGGTCCATAAAAGTCCACAAAAACGTGTCAATATTCCTCCATACTGCTCGTCCAATGTATTCCAAGTGTCCTGAGTGGGTAGCATCCAGAATTTACTCGAAACGAAGTCATTTAGAATGTTTTTAGAGCATAAACAGTAGTGTATAGGATTTCCTGAAAGCGCGCACATGCGCGATCACGACGCTACGGAAGCCGGCACACCAAACCAGCGCATTCAGCTCGGCAAAGAACTCATGCTCTTCCTCAACACTGAAGTCCTCAGACATTTTTCTTTCGTTGTTTCTTTCTTTGCACAGATAAACAGCACATTTCTTCTTCTACGCTTGCATTATTGGCAGAGCAGACGCTGAATGCGCACTTTCATCTGGTTTGGTGTGCCGGCTTCCGTAGCGTCGTGAACGCGCATGTGCGCGTTTTCAGGAAATCCTATACACTACTGCTTATGCTCTAAAAACATTCTAAATGACTTCGTTTCGAGTAAATTCTGGATGCTACCCACTCAGGACACTTGGAATACATTGGACGAGCAGTATTGAGGAATATTGACACGTTTTTTGTGGACTTTTATGGACCTTTCTGTCTCTGGCACCATGGACCTCCATTATTTGAATGTCAGCAGACAGCAAGAAGCCTCCCAGATCTCCAGATGCATTTGAGATATCAAAAAAGTACTCCAGAGTGTTGTTCAGCATGGGCGTGAGTAGAAAATGAAGGCTAATCATGTTTTGGGTGTACTATTCCTTTAATTTTGCACAAGGCAATTGATTCATTTTGTTGTGATTTATTAAAATAAAATGTTTAATATATATATATATATATATATATATATATATATATATATATATATATATATATATATATATATATATATATATATATATATATATATATATATATATATATATATATATATTTTTTTTTTTTTTTTTTTATCTACTGAGAGGCTGGTTGAAACATTGGGCCAAATCTGTATTTTAAGGGATGTGTAGCTCCTCAGCAGTCATTCCATAATTATTAAAGCGGGCACGAGTTCAGCTGCTTGGAGAAAAATCTGATAATCACTCAGGGGTTTAGGTGGAAAAAAACCAAAAACATAATTAGTCCTCATTTTGATCCTAATTTCACCACAGGTTGCAGCATTTGCCCCAGAGCTCAGGAAGTTCTCTCTCCCTTAGTCCGAACAAACAAACAGACCTTTTCATTTTTCCTGGTTGTGTAGCAGTGCTAAAAGTGTCCTAATCATCCCTCAGTGTCTTTGCAGCCTCATTTGCATGTGGTTAATTAGTGTGTGAAGAAGCTGTCTGTGGTTTGCTGGCAGGAACCCGGACTCCAGCGTCTTGAACAACCTCCGGGATGTTTTGGAGATTGAATTCCCGTCACCGGCCACCCACGAAAAATCTGTATGTCACACAGATGCACCCTCTCCATTTCAAACATGTCCATTCTCATCAGGATTAGCTCCAGGAGCTGTGCTTGTTCAACTTTTAAGCGGGTGGATGTACATGTCTGCTTTTTTCTTCCTATCCATTTCCATATTTTTCTGTGTGTTTTGGTTTGTTTTGTTTTGGTTTTTTTTTTGAGGTGGGCACAACTGCTCCTTTAATTGGGCTGTTTACAGATAAGATCATTAGAATAACAAAGATGGCAGAATTCTGTTCACTATCAAACCGCTTTAATCATACTAAACCATTTATCTCCTTTTTCTAAAGAAAAAAAAATCATTTTTTCCCCTCCCATCTCTGCAGATGGGTTGAAAGGGCGTTGTGTTTATCTGCTGTCGCCACGGTGATTAATGCTTCAGCTTCATTAACATTCAGAGGAGTGCAAAAAAGTTGAGTTGACCAGATGTTGATTTTTTTTTTTTTTTTTAAACCTGCCATCCTCTCTCTTAATGGATGGCTCCAGGGGAACAGAAAAAAAAAAACAACAACCCAGAAGCATCTAATTCCAACAAAATGCAAAGAGAGATTTTCCCCTCGAAGGTTTGATGGTGAAGCAGCAGCACATAGTGCAGAGTCAGTGTTGCAGGTGATACTTGGAGGCTGATGTAGCATGTTTGTGCTCACAGACTCCAGGGGTAACCAGAACCTGTTTGAAAGCATCACTGGTCACTTCTGCTTTTCTGTGTGCAGAGTTTTAATATGGAGTGCGGCATCTGTTACTCCTATCGACTTGAAAATGCCATCCCAGATCAAGTGTGTAATGACCCCCGATGTGGGCAGCCATTCCACCAAGCCTGTCTTTATGAGGTATGAACACACTTTATCACCATAGAGGTTCACCTGCAGCAACAAGTTGCACCCTAAAGTTTAAATGGACATAGTCATACTATCTGACATTTTTTCCCACTCCAGTTGCATACAAACTATTTTCCTTTTAATTACTGCCTCCTGCTGTTGTATTATTCGTATTATTCTGTACATTTACAATAACAGTGAGTGACCAGAGGTATGATACTGTGAATGTGCACTGGGGGGAAACAAGGAAGTGAAGTAGCTTAATTAGTTAGCACCTCTCAACTGTGAAATAAAGAAATGTCCCAAATCTAGTTTGAAAAACATTTTGTTTCGAGAGGGATAAAACTGGAATAGTGCTCGGATTACAGTATGATCGCGTTGTCTGCAGGTAGTGATGTCGCTGCGGAGTTGATACTGATACTAACGATAGCAGTGCCATTCCTAGTCTCTAGTTTCTTGATTTCTGTCTATATAATTTGTATTTTCACATAAAAACAAAATAAAAGCTTCAGAAAACTGCTGCTGAAAATGCCCTCAGCAGATATCTGAACAACCTTATGACAATGATTTAGACACGTTTATAGAAATCCTCCAATTTAGTATTTTAGAAATATTTACTTTAAAAAAAAAAACATAGAAAACCAAGAACATCAATCAATGCAAATGCTATAATTAGACTTTAACATATATATGAATATATTGGAAATATTTTGTAATGGTTATTGAATAAAATTATATTGCATATTTTAAATTATTGTCCATCCTTATGATAGACCAACACAAAGTAGTTGTAAATTACTTTTCCTCTGTCTTTTTGGGAAATTTTCAGATGGCTGCAAGTCATCAGAGGTTGGTCTTTAGATGGTTCCCTGTCACAAGCCTTTGCAGAACTTGGTGGCATGATGAAGAGGATGTAATTTAAAATCATCTGTTCTGGCATAATGCTAAACCTTTAACATGCAGACACAAATTCCTGAGAATCATGGTTGGGGTCTACTGATACATGGGGCTAAGAAAACATGTGGAAAAATGTCTAAAATGGAACCTTCAAGCAAAAAACTGTAACGGAAAACTAATACTGGACATCCCAGTCCTGCTCTAGAGCATGGTAGTGGCAGGAATATGGTGTCGAGAGAAAAAAGATGAAGGTTTCCAGACAAGAGTAAAACAGACTAATAACATAAGTTAAAATAATTTGGGAAAGGGGGTTATATAGACTTTGGAGGCTAACGACAAATACAGACAACACTTTTTAGATATTATGGCTGCAAAAAGATTAAAAACTGCAAAGGGCTGTGGTCTTGTCCCCTAAAAGTAACAAACCTGATGATTTAACTCATTTTATACTTAAAAAGCTTTTTATGAATCTATTTCCTCATAGGGGATAACTAGAATACCTTGTCAATATTACAACACAAACAATACGGATGATTACTGTAAAACAGAAGTTTACTTTAAATTAAATGGCTTAAAATGTAAGATTTATTTGTTTTGTTCAAGCAGTATGTTAATACAAAATACATTTTGACTTTTGTAAAAATAAAATATCAAATTCATATGAGTGAGTTTCCTTTGCATTTACTATAATTCTGGTTCTCATTAGTTGAGGGGCTGTTGAAAGGTGGCAGAAGCTCTTATTCAATGAAAAGTCCTTTAAAAAGCATATTGTGTAGGATGAGATTACGTCGCCCGATCCAAGGTGATGAGATGAGCAAGTCTTTTTTTTTTTTTCCTTTCTCCTTTAGTGGCTACGAGCTCTTCCCTCCAGCAGACAGAGTTTCAACCTTGTTTTCGGAGAGTGTCCTTATTGCAGCAAGGTAGGTGTATGCTTCTATCTGCAACTGACAGCTGATGCAAAAGCCTTACCTGGGCTCTGTATACATACTCAACAGCTGCTCGTATAAATCCATTCATTATATAGCCTTGTCTTGTCAAAGTGCCTTCATATGCAGATCTGAAAGTGTTCTCCCACAGCTCCTAAACAATTATAAATGAATCATTTTTCTTTTACATTGTACATGGCATTTTTTTAAGTAAAAAGCCATAATTGTCAAAGATTATGTATTAATTACAACAACCCAATGCTTCTTTTTATATTTCAGCCCATTACAGTGAAAATGGCAGTACAGAAGTCCTGAGGAGCAGCATGAGGAGTTACAGGCAAAGAAAGTCAATTTCGACTGACTTAAGCAAACACAAATACAGCCCCCAACAGAAGGATCAATCCCACACAGACAAGCCTGGACATCCAGGAGGTTCTCTGTATGGAAGCAGCTCCTTGTCTCAGATCTGAATCTTCGGTCTCACCAAACCAGTGTCCCTGTTCTGAACAGATCTGGCTGTGGCCCATTCCGTTCTCATGTGGCCTTTCTTCCAAACGTTTTCTGTAAAATCCGGGTATTTCTCTGTCCCAGCCGTAATTTCCCATTTGGAGGTTGAGCTGATGCTCCGGTCTTTCATTGGTCCTGGTCAGCTCCTCTGTGTTCTTGTGAGGTCCTTTGGATTTAGCTCTCTGTTAAAAAATTTGTTTTATTTTTGAATTTTTCTTTAAGCAGACAAACAAAAAGAGATTTTGGTGCCAATTTGTCTTGTTGAGCTCATGAGCCATTAAAAAAAATGATGTTACAGTCATGTAGAAGTAATTCAGCAAAATCACAAAAAGCGGTCTGGCCACAAGCCTTCTGACATCACACCTGTTTGGGCGTAGCTCCAGGACCAATAGGAGGACCTCTTAGATAGCGTGCAGGGATACGTTTGGGTCGGACATCTGCCTCTTCCTCTTCTTCTTCTTCCTCCTCCTGCTCACTGTCTTCTTCTTCATACGTACATGGAGGCCTCGGCCTGAGCGACCTTCCTCCAGCAGGTGACATCGCTTTCTTCTAGAAGAAAACGGCGGATTGTTACTGTTTCACATGTAAAACTGGCTCAAGCTTGATTTCAGTTAGACTCATCCTTTGTTAAAACATCTGGTAACCAGTTTGCTGCTCTACAATATTTCACAGGATCACTGCAGAAAAGTCTTGAGAACAGAAAGACAGAAAAGTTAATTGTGAATATTGTTTGATAAAATAACAAAACTAATCCTGGGGAGGTCTTACTATTGCTTTTGTTACCCTGTAACTCTGGATCGAAGCAAAAAATGTGGCCAAATGATACTGACTTTGTTGTGGTGTAAATAAACATTAAACTTATTTTAGTTGTTTCCTTTTTTGTTGTTGTTTTAGCTCCTTTTAAGTGCCAAAACACTTTTTACCCAGATGTGCAGCTTAGGGACATTTCACCTGGGTAGTTGAGTAATTCAAATTTGTGCAACCAAAAAGCCAAAGAACAGCGTGCCACCAAAATGTCCGTTTCTCTTCTTACCTCCACTCTACAGAAACTACCGGGAGATAAGGAAGAAGAACACAAAACTGGCATAAACCAGATTGATATGTTTAGTTCTATTCAGTTCCTACACGTATCATTCAGGATAGCCTTCTGTAGAACGCGATCGCAAAAGGGAGGGATATTCAGTTCAATTCTTCGAGCTGATTGGGTACCTATGTCCCATGTCAAGCTTTTAGCCAATCACAGCAGCAGTAGCAGCTGTGACATATCAGATTCTTGATTTGTTTCAAAGAGTTAACTGAGAAATAAAACGCTTACCATGTCTGGGCGAGAGAAACACCTTTCCTGTCCACAAAAATCAAATTTTTCTTAATCAATTTTCAAAAAGAAATAGAGGGTATTCCAGCCTTCCACCTCTGGTTGACATCATACCCATCACTGCATTTCATTGGTGTGAAACATTTTTTTTTTGTATCAAGGCGACTGCAACTGTTCACTTCTGGCAGGGTGTATTTCTGGGAGTTTGTGAATTTACAAATCTCGTAACATTTCATCTAGCTTACAAGGTAAGGAGAATTAGGGATAAAATGTGGAATAACATTTAGCTCTGAAAATGTCTCTTCTTGTAGTATGTGAGCTCACAGTAAAACTTAATGGTAAAAATGTTAACAGTGATTAGAGAAAGGAAAGGATCCATTTCTAGTAATATGTTAGTCACCTTACCTCTGGTTTAGTGGGGGGTGGGCCTCTTCTGAAGCAAGCTGGCACTGGCCTGGGCTTCATGCTCACAGGTTCTTCATCATCCAGCTGTGGAGTCACCTGCTTGGGTCTACTGGGTCCTCTAGCTGCTCCTTCTTTCCGTGGCTTTAGGAAGAGTTGGAAAATGAATAAGAATGGAGTTTGTAACTTTCTTTAACTTGGCCTTGAATAACACTACTTCACTTCCAAACTGTGACCACCCATAAAAGAATCATATTTATCCGACAGCTTGGCAGAGGATTCTGGAAGCGTTCAGTGGCCTTTTTTCTCCGCTGACATTTCCTCTCCTCACTAAAGCGTCTGTAAATGGCCACTTGTGTTTAACAAGGGATCAAACTGGCCAGCACTTTAGCATGGAAATGAAATGACACAAGGAGAGGAGAGGAAATTAGGAGCATAATTGGAGATACCCTGTGCTGGGTAAAGTGTGTGTCATCAGCTCCTTCAAACTGGGCTGTTGAGAGGGCGGTCACTCGGCCACGTAGGGTCAAGAAGTGATTCTGAGGAATGAAGGGGGGTTGTGGTCTTCTTTCTGCATCAAGTCTGACCATCTTTCGCTCCTTCTAAGGGTAGAGTCACCAGAAGGTTAAACCTCCCTTTCGCTGCCATCACGTTCCTGCACTCTGAGGTTAAGAGACTCTGCAGAGAAAACCCTTAACGGCCAGCAGTCAGGTTGTTAAACGAATACAAAAATTTAATTATGGGGAAACATTAAGCACACCCTTATTTATGTCTAAGGCTTGTGTATGAGAGTGTGCTAAACAGAAGACCGAGCCCTCACCGGGTCTACAAACATTAACCTCTACTGAACAGCAATGCTCACCAACCGCAGCACATAATTATATAAAAAAAAAGAAGTGAAATCAGGACTAATGTGTTAAAAACAAAGACCCCTTCATTAAGACTTGTCTTTATAGGGTCCTGCTGAGGTCTTCCAGGCTTGCTCTGAACATGCACTGAACTTGATGTAATGGTTTAAACTATGGTCAGAGTAATTCAGGGGATTCGGCCAGAGCCCATATTTACAAAGATTCTTAGAGTCTTTTATCAAATGATTGACTTTATTGATCTCACAGTGGAGAAATCTACTCAAATTTACTCAATCATAAGCTAAAAATCTTAATGTAATAATTTCCTCACTGGCCTTTTTTCTGCTTTTTAGAGCAGCCTGGAAGGTGAGAAGCACTGAAGCCAGAGAGGAGTTGATGGCACAGAAGCAAATTTCTAGATGTCTTCTGACATCACCATGTATTATACAACATATACTTATTCACTTCCATAATAACTTACCTTATATGTATACATAGTATTATTGTACCTTATTATACCTAGACTGTGTGTACTTTTATTTTTCTTAATTTTTCAAGTTCCTGCAAAAATGTTTACTATTTATAATTTCAATGATTGAAAATTAAGCCCAAACACTACATTGCTTGTAAATTCTCGATTAATGGTTATTCAATAAAATTATCTTCTATTACTATATTTCTATTTTTTTTTCTTTTTCAGGGTTCCCGCGGGTCCTTAAAAAGTCATAAAAGGCATTGAATTCTTTAAAATAAAACTAAGGCCTTAATTGGTATTGTAAATGTCTTAAATCAGTCTTTCTTAGGTCTTAATTTTTAAAACATCATAAATATGATTATTTTTATTATGGTTTATTATTGTAATCTAAATAAAACATTAAAATTGACAATTTTTTATTTATTTTTTTTAAATAATGGCTCGCCATTATTGGTTCCGTCCCGATAGTGGAACCAATAAAAGCGTTGTAGCTGCCGGGACATTTGGGAGATGCGCCATTAACTTTTTGTCTGGAAAATATGAGCAAGTGTAAATGTAACGAAAATTGGCTCCAGCCAAGAGTTTCCTCCATGGCTAAAACCAGGGAACATACATGAGGCACAGTGTATTTTGTGCAAGAAGTCATTCAAGCTCGGAAAGATGGGAATTAAGGCAGTGGAGTCACACATGCGAAGCACGAAACACAAAGCGTCAAAATGGAGTTACAGAGAAACAGCCGGTATTTCTCAGTTTTGTTCCACCCTTGTCTCTGCAACGCCTCCACTTATCACCAAATCAAACATACTAAGAAAACGATACGAAGAAAAATAGCTGCAAAAAGACTTAGCACTGGTTATGTTGTGGCTTTAAAACTTATAAATTTGTTTTGTTCCCTGCTAAAACAAAGTTTGTGAACTCAGTCAAATAATTGTTAAAATATATCTGTCATTTGTGTGTTTTTAGCTTTCTTCCTGTATGGGAAGCTTTTCAAAATTTGAAACATTAGTGCAGTGGTTTATGTTAAAATAAACCTTTGGGTTAAGTTGTCGCAAGCAGGTTTTTCTTATGTTTCTTGTGGATTTGGTCTTAAATTTTTATTTCAAGTGGCATTAAAAAGTCTTGAATTTAACTTGCCTTATGCTGTAGGAACCCTGTTTTTAAAGAAGGCTTCTTATGGAGTGTTCCGACCCAACAAGTTGCAGGCATAAAAAGGCTTCCAACACTTCAATGTGGGCGCTGTACACTTTCAAGTCAGACACATCAAAATCTTCTAGACCAGGGTATGACTGAAGTAAAACCGTAAGACAAATCGTAGAATTCAGATAAAAATCATCTTTATTAGTAGGAGTTGCTTTAACTCTTTCTAAGGAGCTCACTTCAAATAAAGCATCAACCTCAGAACGCTGCCTGTTCTGCAGCTGCTGCTCGTTAGGCCTTTTGGACGACTCCATGTTTGCTTATCAAATATGCAATGCAAGTATACTCTGCTCATCCTCCCCCCTTGTGACCGTTCTGCTCCTTACTGTGAAATAGCGAAGCAGTGAGAATCGATGTGAATCAGAGAACAAAATCAAAAGCCTTGCAACTACACGTTAGTTTCCATTGTTCCTTATAAAAAGCCTGGTAATAGATTTGGTCTATCTGTAATGTCACAACTCAGTTTAGGACTGAGAAATGAAACATTTTTTGTAGATTTGAGACTGCAGCAGCAGGGATGTTTCACTGCACCAGGATTTAGTTTTCACATGCATCCTGTCATAACCCAAGAGATGCTCTGGCGGATTAGTGTTGAGATATTGTTGGTTTATTGTGAAAATTCCTGCTGTAAATTCTTGCTGAACTTCTGTATTTATCCTTTAAAAATAGGCCAAAACTAAACCGAGAACCCTGATTACTTAAGCCTGGAAATGTATGGAAATCTGTAATTAGAAATATGTTAGAATCCTTAAATCATGCAGTATCGGTCACATGTAAAATATCAAGGTGACCAAACCACTATTAAAGAGTAATTGAACACAAGGTTGTGTTATATTCTGTTTTCACCTTTTCTCGGTTGAAAGGTTCCTTGGGGGCAGAACCCTGGTGACCTCCAGGCACTGAAAAGTCCAGTCTTCCTGTGACCTCACAGGCCAGCAGCTTTTTAAGAAACTGGTAGTCAGCCTTATCTTCATAGCCCAGAGTTCTGACATAAATCAGGAACTTAGCCAGCTCATCTGGTGATGGGAGGAAACATAAAAATGACAGTTTAAGGGAAAACATGTAAACAATTCTGGAACATTAGCTGAAATGGGATTCTTCTTTTTTTCTCTAAAATTATTTTAGCAGTGAGGTGGCAGCAACAAATGTAGGATGAACCTGAAGGTCTCTGACTTCAGATAAAACACTGACTTGCGTTGCATTGTGTTATACAACGTCAGCCTAAATGTATCACTGGCCGTACGGTGTGTATGAAACATGCTGCAGTGGAACCTGTATCACTCCCCCCCACACACACACACCCAGTTGATGCATCCTCTGGCTCTTATCTACAGCGGGCAGCCTGGCTTTGTTAGTGGATGAGAGTGAAGCTTTGACCATTCATCACACACCAAGTCATCACTATGGTGTGACCTCTCCATATAGGAGATAAAATACAGCTAACTTTGAAAGGCATGTCAATGAGACGGCCATCTATTTAATTGATATAAAGTTATAACAGTTTTCCAAGGTGACGTTCAGAGCAGAATTTTCATCCTTTAGCTTCATTCTGATGACCAGATCTCAAAGACTTTGTTTTAAAAATAAAATTTCTTCTCTACTTGTATATGCTAAAGTTTTTGTG